TTAGCCAACGGTGCTATAGAGCTAATTATTGGTGAAAGTAGATTACCAATAAGTTTCGCGGAGTTAACAAATGAGATTAACATCCGAATCGTTCCAAAACTAACGGAATCTTGCATATTAGGTATGGATTTTTTGCGAACATTTGGAATAATAATTGATATTAATGATAAAAAATTGTAGGCATCAGATAAACCGATTGTCAGGGTAGATTTTAGTCAAGTCAAACCGAATAAGGAGGATTAGTGTGCAGGATTAGTTGAGTTAACAAATTAAAAAATTTGTTTGTGCAGAGTCGAACTGTATACAATTTAACTGTACCTAATTAAACTGTGTCGAATTAAAAGTTTCATTTACTTTTTAAATGCATGTATTGAAATAATCTGTATGCAATTAAACAAACCTGAAAAGTTTTAATATGACAAATTTGTTTGTGTACAGCTTAACCGTATAGAGTTAAACGTTATTATTAACTTCGAAACTTGCTTTGTGCAGAATCGAAGTGCATACAATTTAACAGTATAGAATTAAGCTGTATGGAATAAAAAGTTAAAAACTTTTTAATTTAGCTGCATAGAGTTGAACTGTGTACAATTAAACGTATACAGTTTCACTGTGTTTAGCTAGATTGTATACAGTCGATACCCCCCCCAAATTTGCGAGCCGTTAACGCGTTTAACGAAAAAGAAACAAACGTTTAAATGGACAGACGAGCAAGAGGACGCGTTTAATGAATTAAAAAAGATCTTAACTTCTCCCCCTATTATGGGATATCCGGATTTTAAAATCCCTTTTTGCATTCAAAGAGATGCTATTAATTTCGGGATAGGAGCCATAGTCCAGGCTTCGCACTCTTCGACTAAAAGCTACTATTTGCTACTTTTTTGATGGTTGGCTACTTTTTGGCTACTTTTTCACTATTTAGACAACTTTTTGTTACTTTTTTGCTGACTAATGAGTTCAAAACCTGTATATGGTTTTAAGTAATTTTAAATAGCACACAAAAATTGGATCTATAAAGTGCTGAATATCTTGCAGTTACTTTAACCCATTTAAATTTATGAAAAACTGTGAAAAATTGGTATTAAATCAGTTCTTTAAATTTCAAATATGCCTAAATAAATATTAATAAAAAACTTAAAGATTTTAAAATTTTCTAGAAATTAGAAGAAAATAAAAAAACTAGATAAAAATAAATATCTAAATAAAAATAAAAATAAACTATATAAATAAAAAAACTAGAAATTAAGAAAACAGAGTGATTTATCCCCACCACCGAAATATATATAGATAACCGGATATTTTTCACAGTTTTACATAAATGTTAATGCGCTAGGTTAAAGTAACCGCAAGATATTTAGCACCTTATAGATCTAATTTTTGTGTCTTTTTTGTGTTCTGTTTAAACTTACTTACTTTCACTGACCAACTTTGAAAACATATTTTATCTATTATTTTCATTTATTCACTTAATTAACAAACCCCCACAAAAAAAATTTTGTCCGGCAAAATAGACTAGTCATTCTTACGTATTTTGGGTCACTGAATCCGAATCCGGGGTCAGAATTTAAAAGTTGGTTCTTATTTTTAAGATAAACTCAAAAAACTGCTTAAAAAAGAAAAAAAATCAAAAAGTGAAAAAATTTTTGTATGACACTGCGATAGTGTAATTCAATGTATTTTTAGTCACTGATTCCGAATCCAAAGTTAGAATTGTTAGATTTGCTGAAATGTTTTGAGATAATTGCAAAAAACTCAATAAACAAAAATTCAAAAAAATTCAAAATCAGTTTTTTGGCATTATCTCCAAAATTTAAGCTTATCTCTCAATTCTGACTTCGAATTCGAATTCAGTGGAAAAAAGTACAATGTACATGGAAATACAATATCTTAGTGTTTCGGCAAAAAATTATCTTTGTCGACAGGAAAAACTAAGTGTTATTTTAACACCAGAATTGGTGTTAAAATAACACGCAACAAATTTTACTCTAAATCTGGGTTAAATCTTATGGGTTTTAGCATTGGAGAAATTTACCCGCAACAAAAATAACACCAGCTTTTTTCTGTGTCCCTAATTCAGGATTTTTATCAGATTTTTGCGATTATCTCTAAGAACTAAGACGTAACAATGACTACTCTATTTCGCCGGACAAAATTAATTTTTTTTCTGAGGCTGTGTAGTCAATAAAAGATAATAAATTAATTAATTCTGAACAAGAGACAGTAAAATACATTGTACATTTTAAAAGAGTTGTCAATATTTTTAATAATCTTTCTAATTGCTGAAAATGTGAGTTTTCCATATCTTCTCCATTTTAAACTCATATTTCAAGATAAATAATAAAATTTTTGACTTAATTGTTTTTATTTCGTTGTCTAAATATCATCCAGAATCATTTCGGAAAGTATCTATTTTTTTAAAAAATTAGGCCTTAACGACTTTTGATATAAAATATAATGGATTGAGTCAAAAATTTGTAATGACCTCTTTTGCCATTTAAATGTTCGAAAATTCTTTACTTTTATGGTATAATTTTAATTTTTTATACCCTAAAAACAAAGTATTATGCAAATTATTATGTAAATTAGGTGTTGAAATTTAATTTTTTTAAATTAAATACAATTTAATATATAAACTACACATATTATTAATTTTTTCCGTAGGCTACTTTTTTTACTTTTCAGGCTACTTTTTGCTACTATTTTTTTATTGACTAATGAGTGCGAAGCCTGATAGTCACTTAAATTCAAGATGGCCAAGAGCGTGTAATCGCATATGCCAGTCGCATTCTTTCTGATGCGGAGCGTAATTATTCTACAACTGAAAAAGAGTGCCTGGCAGTCATCTGGGCAATTAAAAAATTTCGATTCTATTTGGCAGGTTATCACTTTACAGTGATAACGGACCATAGTAGTCTAAGATGGTTAAAAAATCTTAAAAATCCGACCGGACGATTGGCCCGCTGGTCACTCGACTTATTAGAGTATGACTTTGAGATATTACATAGGAAAAGATCGATACATGATATCCCCGACGCGCTTTCTCGAATGTATGAGGATTCGGAAGAAAATAAAGTCGCGGCTATTGAAGATGAATGGTATAATAGACGTCGCGAATCGGTAATTAATGAACCACACAAATATCACGGGTGGAAAGTAATAAATGATAGGTTCTATCGCTACCAAAATAATCCTCTGCTCGAAAACCTCATGGATGACCTTAATGCATGGAAATTGGTAGTTCCTAAGGAAGACCAACTTTTGATCATGCGGGAGGCACATGAAAATCCTCAGGCAGGGCATTTAGGTGGTCAAAAGACCTATGATAGAATTGCGATAAGATATTTCTGGCCGGGGATGTTCAAAGATGTAGAAAAATTCGTGCGGACTTGCATTACTTGCCAATTAAATAAAACTGAACAATCAAAACGTGGTATAATGGGGCAAAGAATAGTACAAGAACCCTGGAGTGTCGTAGCCACGGATATCATGGGTCCGTCCCTACTGAAAATCCCTGTACAAGATCTTGTACAATTTCCTGTACAGGATCAGCAACTGAACTTGTACAAGTTCTGACCAGTTCCTGTACATGAAAATGCATACGAATTTGGAACAAGTTCATGTGTGAGATCTGGTGCAAGATCTTGTACAATTTCATGTAAAAGTACTTGTACATGAACACGTCCATGTTCTTGCACATGTTAATTCATGTTTTTCTTTACTAAAAATTAAAAACTTCAAAGACTGCTCAATAGTTTACTTTAACATTTACAGCTGCGCAATAGTTTTTGGCATGCATGGGTTACGAATCTTAGTGGTTAAAAATTATTAAAATCTCAAAATTTTATTAAAAAAAAAATTTTACAACTATACATGTGCAAGAACATGAACGTGTTCAAGTACAAGTACTTATACATGAAATTGTGCAAGATCATGTACTTTTTCTTGTACAAAAATATCATAATAATGCTATTAAAGGCCTATCTATGGCTTAACAAATACATCATTCATTTAATCCCTTATACCATCCACCTGCGAACCCTGTTGAAAGAACCAATAGGGTTCTCAAAACAATGATTCGGTCATTTATCGGCGAAAATCATAGGAACTAGGATATTTTTGTTGGTGATTTTCATTTCACTTACAACACGGCGCTGCATAGTACTAATCGCGTAACGCTGGCGTTCCTAAACCTTAGGAGCGAGCCAATTCCTGTGTGGTCTATGCGTCGTCTTGTGGAGAGGGAAAAATGAGTTGCCAGTCGCTGATGTCGCAGAATGGACAACTCACTCGCATGACCAGACTTAATGACTTACGAGAGAAAACCTGTCAAAATCAGGATCAAGCATTCCTTAAACAAGCGAAGTATTATAATCGTAGGCATCGGGATAAAAAAAGTGCCATTCTGCCTTACAAGAAAAGTTATCAACGTGATGAGCTAAATTTATAAAAATTTTCTTATTCTTGTATTGTGCAGTTGATCCATCTGAGAAATAATAAATTTTCTCCGCAGTCTGAGCAACTGTTCCATAAATTAAAAAGATTGCAAAAAATTTAAATGTGCAATATTTTGAAAAATATTTGAATTTTTTGAAAATGCTTGGGATTTTTTTACCCTTAAAGGAACCCAAATTTTCAATATTATAAAAATTTATCTAAATAGCCTAAATAGGTGCGATCGCTTGAAGTGGAGTCGCGCACTTATTTACTTTTTAAAAATAGTTACATTTAGTATATAATCATAATTAGACTAACTAAAAAAGTAGTTATTTTAACTACTTTGTAGTCAACCACCCAATGGTAGTTGAATTTATCGGCAACATTTTTTAGTGCAGTAAATTCGTGAAAATTCACATTTATTCATGGGACGTACGATAAAGATTACACATTGGTTTTAATCTATTTATTACTATTAGTAAAGTTGAATAAATTATTTTTTTTTAAATTTAGTTTTATAAATTAACTTTGCAAATTAAATTAATTTAAGTTATATATTCTTTCAGAATTTGCTAGTGATTCATTTATTTCACATATTGATGCTGTGTACTGGCGTATATTCTATTAGTGTAAGGCGAAATATTTTCAAAAGGAATCATAGCGATAGAAGTATAAGTGGTTATTTAACAGAGGTAAGTCAAAATTTTTAAAATATTTAATAAATGTATGCAAAATGGATCGACCGGAACTGTTCGAACGTAAAATATTCGAAATTTTTTACTATAATTTACATCATACGTTACTATATAAGATTATTCTTACTTTGTTTCTCTCTTATCGATTTTAAAAGTAAAAACGTTTGTTTTAAACTAAACAAAGTTATGCGGGGTCCTTCATAAATAAAGCAATGCAATGTTTACTTTATGAAAACTTTGCTTCTTTAAACGTGAGCAATTCCACGTTGTTAGCAATTTTTATGAAATTGGATCTGGTATTTACGAATAATAATAATTGTAGTTTAGATTTGTCTGTCGACGAACTGGTTCCAATTGATAATTTTCACCCTCATTTGTCTCTAGAGCTTACTGTTTTTGGTACTCGGCATTCTATTAATAATCAATTGTTTTTACCTTTAAGATATGATTTTAAAAATGCTCATTTTTCTGGTCTTTCAACATATTTAAATTCAATAGACTGGAATGAAATTTTTATATCGCTTAATATTAATGATGCAATTGATGTTTTTTATGATATTTTGTTTAGTGCGTTTGAAGTTTATGTTCCTCAAAAAAAGACTTTTTACTCTACCTATCCTTTTTGGTTTAGTGATGAGCTGGTTCGCCTGACTATTGAAAAGAATATAGCACATAGTCGCTTTAAATTGTCTGGTTCTTTGGAGGATTATAATTTGTTTTCCTCACTTCGTGCTAAATGTAAATTAATTGCCGACAAATGTTATAAAGATTATATGCTTGAGGCTGAAAAATCAATTGAGTTGAACTCTAAATATTTTTGGAATTTTGTAAATAAAATTAGAGGTAAATCATATATACCGAATTATATGTTTTTAATGGACAAACAGGCTGAGAATGATATTGATATAGCGACTTTATTTTGTGAACGTTTTAAATCAGTATATGATACTAAATACTATGACTCGTCTTTTATATATAATGATAATAAGAATGGCTTGAGTGATTCAATTGATTTTAATTCAGTTACTATTACTAGGAACATTATTTTTAAGAAAATTAAGGAATTGAATGTGAACACTGGTGCTGGGCCTGATGGTTTACCACCGCTTTTTATTAAATGTTGCTGCTCTTCTCTCATTGAACCATTATATTTTTTATTTACTTTATCAATGTCTCAGTGCTATTTTCCTACTTTGTGGAAAAAAGGATATATTTCTCCTATCTATAAAGATAGTAATAAAAATGATATTGCGAACTATCGCCCTATTACAATTCTTAACGTTTTTTCTAAGATATTTGAGGGTGTAGTGTTTGATCAGTTGTACTCGGCTTCTTTGGGTATTTTAATTAATGAGCAACATGGTTTTATGAGAGGAAGATCAACTGCAACTAATCTTTCGATTTTTACAAATTTTCTTTCTTGTGAGTTGGAAGCAGGTTCACAGGTGGATACTGTTTATACAGATTTTTCTAAGGCGTTTGACAAGGTCAATCATGAATTGTTTTTGCATAAATTGAATTTTTTTGGCGTGGGAGCGACTATTATTAATTGGTTTAAAAGCTATTTGGTAGGTCGTTCCCATGTGGTTCGTGTAAATAAGTCTTACTCATCTGAATTTTTTGCTGACTCTGGGGTGCCCCAGGGTTCTACACTGGGTCCCCTTCTGTTTTTACTATTCATAAATGATATTCAGTTTTGTTTTCAGTTTTCCAATTTTCTATTATTTGCAGATGACTTAAAGATTTATCGTATAACTGATTGTTTGAATGATTTTGTCAAACTGCAGGCTGACCTTGATAAACTTTTTGTTTGGTGCGAACATAATGGTATGCCATTGAATATAAAAAAATGTAATGTTATTTCCTACTCTAAAAAAAAACTACTAAAAACATATATTTATTCTATTGATAATAACCCGCTTTCGAGAGTATATCAGGTTCGTGATCTAGGTATTATTTTAACTTCTGATTTATCTTTTGATGTGCACATCTCCCATGTTGTTAGTAGATCTCTAAAAATAATGGGTTTTGTGACGCGTAATTCCAAGTATTTCCACAGATTGTCCACTCTGAGAATTCTTTATTTTTCTTTAATTAGACCAATTTTGGAATACTGTTCATTAATTTGGTTTCCATACGCGAGTGTTCACATTCTTAGACTTGAGCGAGTACAAAATCGTTTTTTGCGTTTTATGGCTAGACAACTTAATGTTTACTTTGATTATTATATTCATGATTATGCTAGTCTACGAACTCAGTTTAGAATTCCTAAGATTGAATCAAAATTTATATTTACTGATCTTTTTTTTCTATTTAGAGTATTTAATGGAATTATTATATGTCCCTCTTTATTGTTTTTGATTAATTTTTCTGCACCAATACGACGTTTGCGATGTGTATCTCCTTTTTACAGTTCATTTCATAGCATAGATTACTGTAATAATTCAGTTTTCAACAGACTTAGTTTTGAGGGTAATTTTTATTCTGAAAGATTGGATTTTTTCAATAATAATGTCACGGCTTTTGTTACATCTTTACGTAATTTACTTTATAATGATAATTGGAATTTTTTGTTGTATTCTTTTTTCTCATCGATATACCTCTTAACTTGATTAATAATTAACTTTGATTTTTATCATTTAACATTTGGCGATATACTTTTAGTTTATACATATGTAAATCTTAAAGGGTCTTAATTTTTACCCGTATAAGTCATGAATAAATAAATAAATAAATAAATTATTTTCTCTTAGAGTGTGAAGGGTACTAAGTGATAACGTGAGGGTAATTTTCAAAATATTTTGAAAATATTCAAAACTGAACATTTTTATATTAAATTTTTTAAAATGAGATAACTCTGGTAGTTTTTAATATTTTTCTAAGTTCTTTTTTAATTTTTTCAGAAATTTTTTAGTTAAAATTTGATTCTCGTAAGGTCGTTGTAAGCTTGCATTAGTCGCAAGGGTCTTAGCTAGGACATTTGCTATAAGAGGTGGCAAAAAAGTTCCATTCTGCTGGGCATCCAAAATCATCTTCGTGATGTATCAGATTTAAGAAATTTTTTTCTATTTTTATATTGTGCTGCACATCCATCTGAAGAGTAAATAATTTTTTTAAAGCTGTTTTCCTATGTTTTTTTAGAAAAGTTATGAATTGTTTTTGAACAAATGAACTACTGTCGTATTGTGTTAAAGAACTTCGAAAATGATTGCAAAACTAACAGGTACTACTTCATTCTTAAAATTTTTATATAACAAGATGGAATATGGAGTTTTTTTTATCATATAATTAAAAACATATTATTGTAAGTACAAGAGTTAAATAGTTTTGTATAAATGTTTCATTTTTCTTGTGAAGGGAAAAAAAATTATAAAATAAAGACAAGTAGAGAAAATTGGTCAGAAGAGAGCATGAAAAACGCGGTGGGCGAAAAATGGGTTTCAAATTAGCAGAAAAAATATTTTCTGTCCCTCAAATCATTTTTGGACAGAAAGGTGATTTCATCAAATCGAACTTGATCCCGATAGCAAGCATAAAACTGCTTTTAGCGCTCCATTTGGTCATTATGAATACAATAGAATGCCCTTTGGATTAAAAACTGCCCGCAGTACATTCCAAAGATTGATGGATATTTCCTTAACAGGTCTTCAAGGCATAGAATTCTTAGTCAAGGTTTAATTGGACAAGATTTACGCATTGCATTTGCTTCCCGAGTTCTGCAAAATGCAGAAATAAATTATTCAACCATAGAAAAAGAATTATTAGCAATTGTTTATTTTTGCTTCCTCGTGGAGGAAGCTTTGTAGTCCTTTCGTTTATAAAACTTTTCAAAGTGGCGAAAACAAATTTTTTTCTTTATAGAAACATGTTATATGAGATCCTGATCAATTGTCCGGATGTATGTGTGTGTGGATCCCTTTTTTGTTTAGAAGATAACTTTAACAGGTTTTAATGGATTTAGATAAAATTTGGTAGGCTCATTTATCATATTAATATCTTAAATCTGACCAAAGGATTTTGAAAAACACCCCAAAATAAAAATTTTATCGTCTTTTTACCAAAACTTTTTTTTTAATCGAAAAAATTTTTAAATAGGAAAATTAAAGGTTATATATAATAAAATCGTATTTCTTACGTCAAGACGAATCGATCGATATATATATATATATATATATAAATTATTCATTTGAGGTAATTTAAAGACTTAAGGGGGGCGCCTACTTTATCGGGTCAAAAAAATCGATTTTTTAAAAGTTGTCTTAACTGAAAGTACAACTATCAGAGAATATGCTCTTAAAATATTATGTCAAAATACAAAGTATTTTTCGAGTTACAGCTTGTAGAACGCAATAAAGCGCGTGGCCTGGCGCGCGAATCCATTCGCGGTCTCTAATACTTTTCATAATTTGTTGCGCTTATCTACTATTACATCTACCATTAAAATTACCATTTATCAGTAAAATGTCGTCTTATCTAAGAGCTACCCATAAAAAAATAGTCGTTCATCGAGGCCTGTGACTGCCGTAAGTTTTTAAAAAACAGCACTTATATGTTTTTCAATCTTTAAACTCGTTTTTCTCAAAACACTGTTTTTGTAGTTTGCGTACACGATAGACAAAAATCTATTTAACCGATTAAGGTCTACCTGGGCTTGTTTTGAAGATAAAAAGTGTCTCTTCTGTATGAATTAAATTTGTTTTTGATAGAGTTAAATTTAGTGCTTTTTTTTAAAGAAAAAATGAGATTTTTTTTGGCGAAAATTAAATTTTTTTTTAAAAAGTCATGTAAAAATGTCAGTTTTTACTTTCTATTGAAATCTTTTAATTCATACAGAAGGCAATAATGTATATTTAAAGAAAAAATTTTGTTTTTTTGTTTTGGATAAGAATTGTGGACCCTAGGTTGTACGCAATGGGAAAATTTCAGCAGCGAGACGTTATATATATGGCGTTTATTTTATTATTAAATTCTATTTTCATTTAATCAAAAAATTATAT